TCATTACCCAAGAGCCCCAGAAAGTCTGGGATGCAGATGATTCACAAACCAGAAAGTGCTTTTGAATTACTTATTAAGTAGGATTCATGTTGCTTTTACTGCTCTGGGATGCACAAGGTTGGGCTGCAGAATCCCTTTTGCTATCGCCTCAGAGTGAAATGTGGTGGTAATGTAGCATTCACTCACCCATGTATCTATCACAGTTGTATTTTTGCCTCCACAGAGTAGACCAAAGGCCACTGAAGAAGTACGTGAATCTTCCGTGTATGTGCAGTAAGCCTTGGATCAGACCTCAGCAAGACAATCAGAACGTGCAGCTAAACATGCTACAACAAGTTCACTGGCATGTGCTGATCTGCAGGAGAGCTGGTCCAAATGTGCACCTGAAAACCAGGAAGAGCTTGGCTAAGAAGGCAGCAGCTTCCTGCTTAGTCCTCACTGGAGCACACCAGTGTCACTTAAAAAGGGAAAAGGAGCAGCTCTGAACCCATTCCCTCCCCTGTGTACCGTCCCAGAGAAGCCAGAGGGAGGGTATTGTTTTACTCTAAATTCACTTTGTGATCATGTAAGTCCCCCACATCCCACTGCTAGTAAGCTCCAATGATTAAACAGCTCACTGAAGGGAAAATACAGCTAACACCTTCTACCCCCATGAAAGCATATTGTTAATGAGAACTACCAGCAAGAAGAGAATCTGTGTGAAATAGGTGTAGAAATACCCTGGGAGAGGTCAACTATATCACATCTCTGACTGAAAGGATGATTTCTAGCCCTGTGCTGCTCTTGAAGGTATTTATGTGGAAGGACTATGCCCTCACCTCTACTAGGGATCTCTCAGGACAGCCTAGATAGGAGAGTGACACAAGAGCAGAGCCTAACTGCCAAGGACACATTTCAATATCTAACCTGCATCTCACTTGATGTGGGAATACTGCTACCACCATAAGGTCCCAGAGAGCTCTAGAACTCAGGATCTTCAGCTCTGACAATGAGTAGCTGCACTGCACGACAGTATCTACCTCTGTTATAAATAATGTCAAGGCTGAAGTCACCTATTGTAGCAGTACATTTTTCTCTCTCTCAAGATTTTTTTATACAAGTACACAGAGAGAAATGAAAGAGAAAACAATTTCTATCTCTACTTTTTGTTTTTCTCATATGGAATTTGTGTGGAGAATTGTTTACCTAGAGTAAGTACTTAATTAAATTCTGGTGAGGATTGTTTGAGCCTGATGGCCAATCCAATCCACCTGTATCTAAACTCTCAAGAAAGAGTCATGAGTTGTGTTAGAGATATAAAGAAAGTAGTATGTAGTTTTAATATCTTCCTTTATATAGTATATTAATGTATTTTAACATAGTTATAATAAAAAAAAAAATGCAACCTTCTAAATTAAGTCAGACATCATCATTTCTTCCCATTGAGTTCACCTACATTTACAACAACCTATGAACTTGGTTACTGCAGAGTGTGTATTTGAGGTAATCACAGAAAGTGATGGAGGGGCAGCTGGAAACACTGCACAAGAGCATCAGGAAGAAGCTGCTACAGAGGAAAACAACTGTCCATTATGGAAAGGGACCAGATAAGCAAGCTTTCCTAAGGTTGGGTAGGAATAGAGCATACACTGGTGTGTTAGGAGCACTAAGAAGCAGAGAGATGCTGGGAAGGCTGGATTCTATCCTCCTCTCCAGTCTACAGGGTTATTTTATTTTATTTTATTTTATTTTATTTTATTTTATTTTATTTTATTTTATTTTATTTTATTTTATTTTATTTTATTTTATTTTATTTTATTTCTGCTTCACATCAGCTTTACTTGCTTGCATAGATAGGAACCAAGGCTCAGGGCCTCTCTTTACAGTAGAAGGAAAACCAGAATTTAGTGAGGGGCTTAACAGAAGAGAAGGCTCAGCATCTTAAGGATGATGAGGAGGAGGAGGGCTGCATGGCAGGATTAGAGACAATGTCTGGCCAGTATATTAAAGAATAGTCACAGTAAAAGGAACCAGTAGTTTAACTGGATAAACACAAATGTCTTTAATTCTATCTAGTTCTACCATGTGTGCATGCCTGAATCATGCTGTGCAACACTGCTTTGAAATTTCTGCAAGGAAGAGATGTAGTTAGCAATTGTTCTTTGATGCTGAGAGGAAGAAAAACAGCATTAGCTGATGAAGAACAAGACTATTTTAAAAAGAATACAAATAATCTTAGCGTCTCCTCCAGGAGAATATGTGGGATGGTCTGAGATTTCATCTGGTACAGGGAGGCCTTGAACTACTCATATAAATCTGTTGCACATCAGTGAATGCATAAATGACATAGAGCACAAGACATCCCCTAGCAACTCCACTCTGGAAATCCGGCAACTGCCAGCAAAAGTGACAGATGACCCAGAGCATGGTAAGTGATCCAAACTGGCCCATAAAAAAACTGGGTGGCATATCAGTTGTAAAGGGATCAAACTTTTCTGTAGTTAGAAAAAGAAAATCACATGGGGACTAAATATCACAAGGCCTTCTTAACAGAAGGGTTCCAGCTTCCACAGACCTGAGTTATTACTGTATGAAGATCATATTACTGTATGAAGGCAATAGCCCCCTCTCAGAGAGCAGTGATCTGAAGATCAGGCTCCAAGGGAATGATTGACATTCCATTCAGGCTGACAGCTAACAAAAGCTCCTGTACATATACCAGCAAGCCACTGCCAGGAAAATCAGTGTGGCTCCCAACTTGCAGATTTCTGCATTACCAGGTCTCCTGCTGTAGCTGACCCTTGCTGATCTATGCTGGCAGGCTCAGCAGAGAGTGGAAGAAGAAACAGGACCTCAGCAACTCTGGCAACTTTTAATGAGGTGAGGGAATTTCATTAAAGAATCGGTGTCATTTCTAAGTAACTCAGGCTCCAGATTCACCGCATGATCAGCTACAACTCCCTGGAAAAAGCACAAATAGCCAAAAAGAACATTTGTTGGGAGCTTAAGCAAACACCCACAGGAACAAACGGGACACTGCAGAGGGCAGCGTACTTCAGATCAGATTGAAACTAGCAGGCACCAAACCCTTATCTCATCTCTCCCCCCTGCTCACCCCTGAAGTCCAACCATCCCATTATCCACTCAGAGGAGGGCCTTGTGTTCCCAAGCATTCCATACCACATCTAGGGAGATGTGATAGCTGCTCATTCCCACAGCGTCTCTACAAGGAGGCTGACTGGGAAATGACCAGTCTTTGAATTATGTCTTCTGTGTGTGTGTGTGTTTGGGTTGTGGGGTTTTTAATAGCAAAAAAAGGAATCAGCAGCTGTCTGTATTTTTAAACTATGGAACATGAATCTCCTTCCACTTCCAAGCTCTGATTACAAAGCCTTTCATTTCTGCGATTCCAGAGCATCATCTCTGCAAGTTTCTATTCTCAGTTCAAAATTGAACAAATCCAACTGTTAGCAAAATTTATTTCAGTCAACAGGAATCTTTTCTCTCTCTAGTTTTGATGGGGCTTGGGCCAGGCACTTGGCAAGATGCTGCCTTGCTTATTTCAAAAAGGAAATCCATCATAAGAAAAATTTTGTCCTGGACCAGATAACCCTCCAGAAGTGACAGCTTTGTTCTACTCAATGAGAATCTTCTGCAGCATTTCAAATGGTTTGGTTGAAAGAAACCTGAGCACACTTATTTAGTAGAATTTAATCCAATATTAATGCCATTATTTTGGGAATTAAAAACAAAGTGGTCCCATTCACTGCTTAAATCATCTGAAGCAATATCATGTCTGTGGAGATGATATAGAGGAAGATTTCATTGGTTTATTGATGATTGGTTGATTAATTAATTCAGTGGTTTTCTTCTGTTAATTGATTATTCCAGGAGATCTTTCCAGTTCAGTGTCAATCTTAAAAACCCTTTGCAGTTGGACTGCTGCTTCCAAATCTTAGGTATTTCCAAGATTCCCAGGCCCTTGCGATGACAGTACACACTTGTGACATTTAACATTTTTGATGCCTCTTGTGGCTCTCTCTCTTGGTACAACCTGCAGTAAGGATAAGCCCACTGACTTTTCCCAGTCTCTAGGAGACTGTTAAATGATAGTGTTGAACAGTTTTAGCATGGTTCCTTTGAGATTACTTTCATTTATCTCATGGTTTCTTTGTGTTGCAGAAGACTCAGATTTTTCCCAAGTCTTTTTATAGCCAGTCACTCACAGTACAAGAATTCATTGTCAAGAGTGAATGATGCTTTGCATCTCACATAGATTTATTTGATACATTAAGAGTTTATTTTCTAAGGCTTCTTTCCAAGTCATGCTATTGTCTGGGTTAGTAATCTAGCAGTATTTTCTATACAACCTCACTAGAAAGCTAGAATTGTCCATGAGTCACGAGAATTTTACCTGTGAATTCAGCTAGGCCCCAAGCAGCTCAGAAAGCTGACCACTATTTCTCAAGCATTAGTACTAGTGCATGAACAGCATAAATTTTAAGTGGGAGAGAGTGTTTTTAAAATAGAAGGGGGAGCATACACTTCAGTCCATCACACAGTTGGAGCTGCGTTACTTGTGGCTCAAATTGGCAGTCAAGGGATTAAGAAATGTTCAGCTTGTCTTTCAGTTTTCAAGTCTGTCCCACAGAAGACATCCTTTCCAGCTCCAGAGTAAAGCATACCCACTCCAGATCTACAAATGAGCCTATCCTCAGCACAGGGTAGTTCTGCTGGCCTCTGTGCATAAACAACAGTTTTCAAAACTGTCCTCCTCTGAGCTAACAAACTCAGCTTTTATTTCCTCCCAAAGTGGTAACTATGATGGTTTCCCCTCTCTGCCCTCAGCTGATTCCCTTTGCCATTTCTAAATTCACTCACTAACCCAAGGAAGCTGAGTGGCAATGAGTCTGTCCTTTCCAGAAGCATCCCTGTAAAAGGAATGGCTTTGAAGACAGACTTTGCAAGCCTATTCCATCCTTTGTCCCAAGTTAATCCAAAATACTTACAGATCTGCAGACTTAATTCACTTAAAAAAGAATAAAGGAGGACATAAAATAATGGAGACTGTCAGGGAATGCAAGCCAAATTAATTTCAGAATTCATTCATCCCTTACTGGCATCTTCAGAGTTGCGTCAGCTTGCTGAGGAAATGGATTTGTCTTTGTGTTTCTGAGAATCCAGCCTTGTTTCAATTCTTCTGAACACTTCCTTCTTTCCTTCTGACTGCACTTCAGCTTTGATCCAAGTATCAGATAGGCCCACAAGGCAGATGACTTGCACTGAATCGAACACAAACTTCTACTGACAGGTTCTGCTACCTAGAAGATGCATGACACACAAGTGAACAAAACTGATAAGGTCTCAGCTTCTTTCCCTGTTATAGTAATAAAGCACCTTGTAATTATATATATTTTTTTTTCTGTTCCATAAGCTGGTTGCCATGGCAAGTCACTTGTGTTACTCTGTCAGATACTACAAGGAAACAATTTGCATTCCCTAGAAAGATAGAAATTTTAAAAAGTCAATTGCTTATCAGTTTGCTTTCTGCTATGACACTACTCATCCTCTAAGCTCAGGGAGAGATAAGCAAGAAAACATCTCAGTATGAGAAAAGGACTTGCAGGTTTCTTGAGTCTAGTGTATCTTCATGAGGATTAAATGAAAAAATCATGAAGAATATGGTGTAACAGGGAAGCAAAACTCACAGAGATCTCTGCTTTTCTCAGTATGCTCTCAGAAACATTGTTACAGGGAGCACAGTAACAAAGCTTTCCTTGCAAACACTTTCCAACAAAGTTTCAGTTACACAGAAAAAGTTTGCATCCAGGAAATCAGACTAGGGTGAGCTCAAAAGCCATGGAAAGAACTAGAAAGCAATCTGCATGATCAAAAGTCAGGTGAACTTGTAGATATGGTGACAACAGGAGACCCAGAACAACAATAGCAACTGACACCACTAATCTACTCTCTGTGTCTGCTGAGAACTAATAAACCCTCTAGTATATCAAAATTATATGGTAATTATATGGTGGATATCTGGATGTATTTAAGTATGTGTCTTTGTGAAGCTAAAAAATTACTGTTACCTACTTTGCTGATTATTTTGATGATCACAAGAAGATTTTTTTCATGTTCTTTTGAGTTTTTTACTAGGGAAAAAAATAATAAATCAACTAAGGTTTCTAGTAAAAATCACTCCAAAAAATATGCTAATTATAAAAATGCAGCCTTGCTCTGTAGCTGATGAGGAAGTTCAGCTGCTCACTAAGCTCTTGGCATGTCCGTATGTCACACAGTGGACAGTTAAGTTTATGTCTTGTCTACAATTCCCCTCTTACAGAAGTTAAAGAGGGGGTGAAAATATCAAGGAGTTAATTTTGGGTCACAGCACCTACAAAAATCAGTTACGTACCTTTACAGACTGAATTTAGAGTCTTGATACAAAAAGCCGTGACATGTTGATGAGTTATGGCCTTCCAATTGCAAGCTACATACAGTTTGGTGAAAACAATCATGAAAAATTAAAGTTATGGGAATTGAAGGCATTTCAACTCCATGGCACATTTTGTTTTTGGAGTTTTACTGTGGCAGTAAGGATCTAAGACACTCTCCTTTTCATTACCCTGCATGCCAGTGGACCCCGTACTTGGTTAGCCTTCCTTTCCTGTCAAGCAAGGCTCACAACAATTAGAGCACTGCAAGCCAGGCATTTTCCAATAATTAAACTCGAATTTAGAGAAAGGAAGGAATAATCTGCTCAGGAAGAGCAAATTTTTACAAATAGAATGGGCTATGACCTCAGAAAGTGTTAATCTGTGCTCTGACAAAAGCAATGGAATTACTTTGCTTTGCCACAGCTGAGGATCTAGTCCCAGTATTTTGCTTTTTTATCAAAAAAGCAGAAGGGGAAAGACAATACTTTCAAGCTATTATCACTCTGTGTGTCTTTGCAAGTCTGTGCCATCACCCCTCTGCAATGGTGTGGTTATGACTCACCAATAGGTGATTCGGTCTCTGTCTTCCAGCAGTCTGCAAACAAATAGTCCTCAGGTATCTTACAGCCTGATGTGATCTGGCACCGAAGAATGAGCAAGAGAGAGGCAGTTTCAGTCTCCTCTTCTGGTGTTTCTTGGTTCTTGTAGGTCACTGAGAAGCCCAAGAAGCATGAAACTGAGGTTCCCCCATAGCTGTGCCTATTTTACTACCTATTTGGTGCTTGCTTCCTGACAAGTTCTTCAGGGCCACCAAGGTACCAAAAAATACAAGCCTGTTTTCAGGGTGCTTCAAAAAGCAAGCTTTCTGCATGCTCCAGTACCCTGCCTGCTCGTTGGAAAGGGCTAAAACAAGACGAGACAGGTAGCCCGGAGAGGCGGTGCGCGGTGCGTGCGTGTGGCTGCCTGCGGAGGAGCCCATCACCTTTGTGCGCGCTGCCGCTCTGCCCTCGGCTCGCTGGGGAGAGATGCTGGCTCTCCGTGAGCTGCGGCCCTCGCTTCCGCGGAGAGCTACGAGGTCATTCAGAGTCAGGAGGGCTTGTTAGAAGCAAGGAAAGAGTTTCAAGGTAGGTTAAAGCTTCAGCCTTTTTGTTTGGACCTGTCTGCTGGCGTGCTGGTTTTTGGAAAAGTGCTCCGGCAGGTTTGTTTGTGCTGGTGCAACATGTTTGTGAGACCTGAGAAAACCTGCACAACTCTCTCAATGTATATCTTTAGAATGTGTTTAATCTGCTCTTGATACAAAGCTCTGCAGGGCAAGAGCTTTCTTTTTATTATGTGTCAAAATTATGTATCTAGAACAATGGTTTTTAGATCGATTTTCAGATTACTAGATACTTTTCTAATGGAAGAAATAAATTGTGAAAGTGTACTTGAAACATATGTCAGAGAGAACAGTACTTCTCCAGTACCAGGAGTGCCTACTTTATTTGGCATCATATTCTGCATCAAAGCTTGATGACTTCTGCAAGCTGCTGGAAAATACAGCGACTATGCAATCCACTATCCAGTTTCCAAATAGTAATAGGGGAATCACAGTGCCCAGAGTAGAAAATGTCTGGTGTAGTGTGGCAGAATGGGAAGCACTGATTGACAGACCTGATTTCAGGACATGAAGCTTGAGTCCATCGATATTTACTAGCTCTACTTCAGCGGTGCTCCTTGAGGCACCCAAATAGGATCAGATGAGAGCCTTTCAACACGCTTGGACCTTCATCTGAAATTGCAGTAATTCTGCCCAGACAGTGCATATCTCTGGTGTTAAGCCTAACTGAACGCCATCTGCCTTGTACAGAGTCAATTCAGGTGTCTTTTCCTTTGTGGCCTTAATTGCACTTGAATAATTTGGAGTCATCTATTTTTCTAGCCATTTCCAGGGGCCAGATAAACGCACCCTGCGAGCCGAGTTTAGCGCAGGACCGTGACTGGCCATCAGCGCTACATTTCGGGGGTCTCCGGTCCTCCTCCCCAGAAGGGCTCCGTGGGGCGCCGACAAAGGCAGCGCGGCCCCGGCAGTCCCGCGGGGAAGGGCGGGCTGCGGGAGCGGCGGCCGCCAGGCCTTCCCCTCCCCGGGGCTGCGGGGCGCTCCTGCGGCGGGGCCGCCGCGGCGCGGGAAGCGCACACGGGTCCCGGAGGGGAAAGGACGCGGTCGCGGCGGCTCCCGGGGCGCAGGGAGCGGAGGCAGCAGGGGTCACCCGCCGGGGCGAGGCAGCGCTCGGCCCCCCCGCAGCCGCCGCCGCCGCCCCAGGGACCGCCCCGCGGCCGGGCCGCGGCGGACGGGCGGCGGCGGAGATTGACGGGCGGGCGGCCCACCCGGAGGGCGGAGGCGGCGGGGGCCGCCAATCAGGGGCGGCGGGCGGGCGCCGAGCGGCGGGCGGGCGGGGCGCGGGCTGGGCGTGTGCCGCGGCCGCCGGCGGGGCGCGCTCCCGCTCCGCTCCCGCTCTCCCCGCACGCACATTGTCCGGGCGCGGCGGCGGCACAGCGCCCCGGCGCCCCGTGCCAATGCGGGGCGGGCGCGGCACGCCGGGGGCGCCTCCACCACCGCGGTGGAAACTTCCCCTCGCCGCCGGGCCGACGCGCGGCTGAAGCCCCCGGCGGGGAGGAGCGGAGCGGGGTTTCGCCCGCCTGGGGGGGCGCCTCGTCTAGTTTGGTTTTTCCTACATTGGAAGGGCAAAAGCGAATACTGCTATCCGGCTTTAAACTTCCGCGCTCCGCTCTCCAGGACGCGCATCCCGGCCGGCGGGGTGGGCGAGCCGGTGAGTGACCGCCGGGAGCGGGCTGGCGCTGGGTCGGGGTGGGTGGGACGCGCCGTCGCGCAGGGGCAGCGCCCACCGGCTCGGCGGGGACGGGTCGGCAGCGCCGCCGCCACCTGTTAGCGGGGCTGTTCCCCCCGCCGCCAAGTTCGTGCCCCCACTGTGCTGCGGCTGTGCCCGCCGTGCCCGGGGCGGCGGTGAAAAGGAACGGACCCTCGGCCCGGTGGGCGGCGGCGGGGCCCGGGGTGTTGGGGGCGGTGGCGGCCACCCACCTGCTCGCCTGGCCGCGCCATGACTCTGCTGCCTGGGCGCTGCCTGCCGACCCGAGCCCCGGCAGGCCGCCGGCGTGGGAGGGTGGCGGGGTACCACCGAGCCGCAGCCTCTGTACCCCCTTTGCCCTCCATGCTCTCTGCCCTCCATCCCCTGCCCTCCTTCTGCCGATTCTGTGCACTCCTGTCCTCCTCCCAGGCTGCAGCCCTTTTTCCTTCCCTCCCTTGCCGTCCCGCGCCCCTCCGTCTCCCTTAGCTGCAGCCGTGTTCACCTCCTCTTCTTCGCACCCCCAGTTTGCAGCCCACTGCACCCGTCTTCCCTCATCCCCTTGCATCCCTCACGCTGTCCTGTGATGCTTCAAAAGGGGAGCAGCAGACTCCCACTCTTGGCCAAAGCGGGTACCTACTGGGCTCTGACACCCCCAGGAGAGACCGGCTCCCTGGCGCTGCCAGGCGCCGCCAGGCCCGGAGCGAGGCGCGGAGAGGGCAGGCAGGTGGCGGAGGCGCAGGTATTGGTGTGCAGCTGTGAGCGAGTGAGCGAGGTCCCCCGTTCTGCGAGCATGCGGCTCTGCGGAGCTGGTGACACCTCCCTCCTCTCTCTCCCTCCCTCCGAGGGACGCTGGCCGCCGGGGCTCTGCAGCGTGCCGAGCCTTCCTGCGCCCTGCTGCCCTGCCAAGGGTATCGCGCCGTCCGGGGCTGCAGCGTCTTCACCCCAAGTGAAGGTGCATCTGATGGCTCGCTTGGCCCATACAGCTCCTGACTGGGAATGTGTTTTGAATTGCCTCAAATAGTGGAGCGTGCCTGGAGACAGATGATGAGAAGTCAGAGTGGACTGGCAAACTCTGGAGCTACTGGAGAAATGCTTAGGACAGCTGGAAACAGGACTGTGCAGCAGGAATGGCTTGTTAAGCCATTGCATGGCAAGTCAAGCCATTGACTATTTCAGTGTCCTGAGTTGGATGGTCATATCGCTTGTAGCCTGTGATACACAAGTTGCTCCTGGGTAGGTCTTTGAAATGCAGAAAAGGTATGAACTCCTGGTGAAGCTGTGTCACGATGTACTTCAGTCTGGTTGGCATGGGTAGGATGTGCAGCTTGGAGCAGGAACTGGTTTTGAATGGAGGAAAGCACATGAGGTTTGGTGTGGGCTCAGCTAAAGAGTTGCTGTAGTCAGAATTGCTGATGTGTTTATCCTTCACAGTCGTGAAGTATTTTAATTCTACAGCTGGTGATTTGTGTCATTTTCCCAAGTGTTTTTAAGACAGCCATGTCTGAAGCTATGTGTATCACCCCTCTGTGTGTCTGGTCGTTTCCTTCTCCTCGTAAAACGTTTTTTCTGTGTGATTAATAATGTGCCAACTGCTTCATTTCAGCACTGGGGAGGCTGATGCTGATTGATTTCCCTTTTCAGTCTTCTCGGTGGGTCTGGAAGCTGATGGGTGTTATCACTGCAGAAGAGTCTGCTTTTGGGTGGGAGCTGTCAGCATGTCTTTTTTTTTATCTCAGCTAACTTCTTACTTCTTTTAATTAAAAAGAGATGAAGTATGCATGGTAATACCCTTCATGTTTACATAAAAATGATCTTGTAATTAGCAATAATTATCTCAGTTTGGGATATTGCTGAGATATTTAAACAGGACTTATGACCTGAGGGACACTTTTCTGGTCCCAGGGTGTTGCCCTTGTTGTGGCTCTCTCCTGTGGTGAGTTTGATTCTTGCCTGCTGCCAGTGGTGAAGGTAGAACAGCAGTGGGAGTAGCCTCGTGTTCCTCTGATGCTGGCCTAGAAAGCCATGGCCATGGTTTCCTTACTGAGCCTGCTTCTGCTTCCCAGGGCTCCCTGGCAGCTGTGCCACCACGCCTGTGGAGGTGCTCTGCCTTTGATGGCTTCCACCCCATGGTCTGACAATTCTCAAGGGGACCTTACTGTTGTCTTGGGGGAGGAGGATAAAAACAGGCTGAAAAATTGCCAAGTGACCTTTTTTTTTTTCCTGGTTCTTCCAGGGAGGTTTGGAGAAGGCTGCTGATAATGCAGGAGACTTTTCCCTGTGAGAGTAGAAATCCTGAGGTGTCTTTGTCCATCTTTCACCTGACTTCCCTTTAAGAGGAGCAAAGCTCATCTCAAACATAAGCTTTTGCTTCCAGGCTGGATATGGCTCCCACTGCCTTCCCTCCTGCAACCACTGCACCCCAAATTTACATTTCTATTAGGTTGCCCTTGGCGCTCACCAGTTTTTTTTGGGGGGTGAAAAACCTTTATGGAGTAGCAAAGTTGAATACTGGGGAAACATTCAACAAAATAAAATCAAGACAAAAAGTACTGCCTATAGAGAGGGATTCCTTGTGGGAGGGTGGTGATTCTCTCCTGTCTCTCAAGATGAGTTATACAGTATACTGTATTTTTGTCAGTCTAGGAAAAGCAAAATGGTTGTGCTTCAAGTAATCTTTAATTGTAATTTATCCCCAACTTTCTATTTTAACATTTTTGAACTGTAAACTTAGAACCAGAGCTTATTAAGCAGCAGATAAAAATGTTGAATGTATTTGATTTTTACTTGTATTAATCTAATAATATATTTATGACATGATATTTGATCAGCTTTATACCTGCCTGAAGACCACAAAATATCATTAATCAAACAAATTATTTGACAAATACAGATGAAATTAAATGAATTATCTATCTGACAGCTGCTGTTCAACTGATCTGTTATGGCATGTTCCTCATTCTCTTATCTTTCCTTTCCAGTTTTCATTCCATTTTTGCATGGTTGATCTTTTCCTGAACTGTCCCTGGTATCTGTTTCATTTATCTCTTTTGTGTCATGGTTTTACTTCCATTCTTTCTTACGTCTCTTTCTTGAACTTCTCTTTATATGCTTTCTGAGTCTCAATTAGCCTTTTTTCTGTTTTTTTCTCTACTTTCCTGGTGGAATTTTTTTATTGAGCACTTCATAGTCAGCTGAACTAAATATGGGATGTGTTTAAATGCATAAAAATGTAAAACTGAACTCAGACTGTGTGTGAGTATGAAGATGTTTGCTTGGTGGTAATGCTTCTCTGCCTCTCCCTGTGTTTTCTGGCTGTTGCAGGAAGGGTGTTCCTGCAGTTCTGGAGGATTTCCCCAGCTCTCATTTTTGCTTGCCTTCTCCTTATGCCTTTTTCAAAAGTGGATTTGACTTTATATCTTAAGAAAGGAAACAGGATCAAATGGCAGTCCTTGTGTTGTTCCCTGGTTGTGTATCTGTATGTAACCTGCTTCCATCTGCTGTCTGACCAAACCCAGCCTTCCTGCCAGGCAGTTTTGCTTTCCTCCTGGCATCATCTTTCCTCCCCACTGAGTTTACAGCCAGGAGGTGTCTTTCAGTAGGGCAAAAGGAACGAGTGCTCTGGACGATTTCTGTTTTATCTATTACTTCCAGTGTCTGTACGAAATGCAGGTTGATGAGGGTAGGTGGTGAGAGGTGAACAGGTCATTGTGCAGGTTATAGTGCATGACGGAGCAGTCACAATATTCAGCTTTGATCTAGTATTCAGAAATGAAAGTCTCTTAAGAAATGAAGTTTCTATTATAAAGAAGACCTGGTTTGTTTTGTGGTTCTCTTTTTTTTTTTTACCCCTAGATGAAATCTAGGGATGGGGAGGATAATTCAAAAAACAATGAAAGGAATAGAAAATCTTGTCTTTCAGGGGAGGAAATTTGCTCTGCTTTGGCAATAAAGCTCAGGCAGTCCAGAGGAGTGTGATGGGAGTGCTCAAAGTGCGTGATTCGCCTCCGCTGACGGTTGCAGTGATGTTGCAGCAGTGTATGAGCTAAGCTGTGCATGTCATAGCTGACTGCTTGAAGTACTGGGACTTATGCCACAATGCCCCCTTGTACCCTGAAGGAAAAGTCTGTGCTATACTGAATTGAACAGTTCCACCTCTCCTGAGTCTTCCAAGGGGCTTTGGGGAGCCCTCGGGTGCACTGACACAGCGAGCAATCCAGGCAGCACACCATTGCAAAGCAGAATTGATTGGGGAGGATGGAGCCAAGAGGAATATTCTTTTGCAGTTAATTATTTACTGCAGGGAGAGAGAGAAGCTGATGATGTTTGGTTTATAATTACAGATATCCAGAGGTAAATACTTCAGCATGATCTGGATTATTATGTGTGTTGGTACCTATTTCTCTGTAACGTGGGACCAGCACTGTTTAATGACCGGCTTGGTAAAACCAAAACCCTGTTAGCAACTTCTCACCAGTGAGGTATGGTTCTATAGCCTCCTCTGTGTGCTGCTGACTGACCTGAATGCCTACAGAAAGAATAGTCTTTTCTATGCTTACTGTCTCAAAGCCTGACCTGCCTGTGGTGCTGATCTGACAGCAGTGTGGGTTCTTGGAACAGCTGATGTCTGTGCTGAAAGATGGCTTTGTGGTTAAAGCCACAGAATTGTGAGCTGGGGAGTCCTGACCCTCCCCCCCCACCACCATGTGGTCTTGGCTAAACTGGTTGCTTATCTTGCTGGACTTTTCTTTAGGAGGGGTACTGACATAGCAGATAGGCTGGATATTTGCTGGTTATCTGTTGAAGGGGTAGGATGCCCTGGGTAAGGCACTCTGATAATGCAGAGGCAGTGGCAGCCCAGGTGCTTGTATAGTGCTGTGGGCCAAACTTTAAGAGGATTTTTCCTTTTGCATAGCTAAATTCTTTATAGATCAGACTGCTTGTATGCAAGTTAAATTCAAGAGCTGGTGGAGCTGAGTTTAAATGTGTGTGTGTGGGAGCACTAACTTGACAAATACAAAAAAGAGACATTGCTGCAATGTCTCTGGGAAGATGCCTGTACGTCTTCTGCTTGTTTAGCATCCTTGAGAGAACAGCAGATGTGAAGGAGAAGCTGTGGCCTGTAAAATGAAGAGGATGTGGTGCTCTTACTGGGAGAAGAAGAGGAGCAAGATGTAAAAAGCCAGAGAGTAGGAGTGAAGTGAGGGATGCAGGTGTGCACAGCGGGGGCTGCTCCAGGCTGCCCTGTTCTCCCTGGCTGAGGCTCTGCAGAGAGAAGCGAGGAGATCAGTGGAAAAGGGCACTGTGGAGGCTGCTGCTTAGCAGAGTGGTGCGTTGGCTCTCGTGCTGGTCAGGGCTGAACCCAGGCATGGCTGGCTGGTAGTGGAAGTGCATGGGGCTGTATTCCCTGAGAAAGGCAAGCCAGTGAAAAATCTCCAAAGAGTCTGGCCAGCAAGTGCTTGTGCCTGAGGCAAACTGGGATCTTGTTTAGAAGCTTGCTGAGAACTGAGCTCTGTTCATCAGCAGTTTTTTGGGTAACAGGCAGCCACCGTGTCGGCCTGCTCCAGGATCACGTTGAGCGCTCTGACACTCTGTGCTATCTTCAGCAATTCTGTGGCTTACATCCAGCTCTATTCAGCCTGCTTCAAACCATGTGAAGAGAATAAGCTTGAATGTATAAATTTGGAGCCTGCAAATGATGGATTCCATCCCAACCCAGATAGCCACTTCAGGAGCCAGAGTGTGTGGCACTA